ACTATAAACTATGCAGACTTATGTAGGTTTATTATTTATTTGTGGGAATGACTAACATAAATATCTTACTTTCAAAAATATATATATAAATAGAAAAATGTGTATAAAAGTTTTAAATTAAAGGCTTTGAAATCGAAGCGATGCTGACTCGGCAGTTCATGTGTTTGTTGGTTTAAATACTTCCTGCTTTCAGCTGTTTCAACCATCAAAACGTTTGTCTCATTCAGGACATTTCGGCTGTGACTTAAGCTTTTTGCAACATTTACACACTGTCAGTTATAAATAAACTGAGACTTCTTAAAGTCCTTTAACAATCTTTCTTAGCATGCTTCTATCATGTAGCTTTTAGCTGCTGTTCTCACAAATGTAGTTTTAGCAAGCTAGTGACTATTCTGCTACTTTCAGTTAGCATTTWGTCACTTTTAGGTTTCGGTTACCGTTCTGGTCATCTTATCCTTTTGATATCTTTAATGWTTAGCTAATAATTTGTAACTTTTGTCTCATTTTAAGTATTTGGTAATTTTCTGCTAACTTTAGCTGTTAGCCGTTTCAGCGTTTTAAACAGATTCCAGCACTCAGAATTCACGCTGCTTTCACTTTGATCCAGTTTTCATTCTTGTCAGAATGATGTCATGTTTTCATTTTGTTCTCTTGCATCAAAAATGTTAATTTTTATTGGTTTTCAGAGGCAGTTAATGAGTTATTGACTGACCCATCGGTGCTGCTCTTATCCTGGTTAAACATAATGAAATAATTTGATTGAAAGCTACGACAAGCCACAGCAGAGGGGCCAACATGTGGCCCCAGAGCCACCAGTTGCAGAGCCTGGACTGGATGACAGACTTTAATAATGTGACACTCAGTCGATCAGGACAGGAAACACATTAAGTTGAAGCACTTCTTGTTTCGGACCTTGTTGTGATGAAATACGTCTGGAATGATTGACAGGAGGCGCAGGAGGAGGTGATTGTGAAGGAGGTGCAGCTCTGTGACACGGCCGGTGTTCAGTGGTCCCGCTTGTGTTTGACATGAGCTGGAACAGGTTTAGCAGGGGGCGGGAGGGGGTCCGGCTGACTGGACCCACATGCAGATGCCTTTTTTTTTGCTAGCAGCAGGACTTTTTGAAGTTGTTTGTTTTTTTTTTAGATGTAACTTTAAATTTGCATTTCTTGGTCTGAGCGTCTGGAGACACAGAAACAAAAAGTTTTAGCTTTGRCCTGTTTTTATTTTGACAGAATGGGATCAAAATATTAAGACAGAGACCARAAAAAGAGTGTTTCTTTTGGATGAAAGAAGAAATAAAACTTTCTTCACTGACTTAATGGTGCCACAGTTCACGAGCTGTTTAAATATGAAGGTATTTATGTGTCGAAACCCACTGGAAAAATTTTTGATTTGTAACTTGTAAAAATATGATTTGTGTACCTGTGAAAAAAATTCACTGCAAAAATTAGATTTGTGTACCTGCAGAAAAGATTTGTATTTAAAAATTTCACCTGCAAAATAAATAAATAAATAAATAAATTACATGAATATTTTCTGAATGTAAAGTCACAGAAAAAAAATGTTACAAATGTGTAAAATAACATTTACACAGATATAATTAAAGTTACAGACTCATAATTCATCATTTATTTGTGTGTTTTTTTTGTTAAACTTGTGTGTATATTTTAACTACAACTCAAAGTTACAACTTCTCAACTCTCCTCCTGCGCATGTGTGACTTTCTCCTGCGTTGACACTTTTGACACAAACATCCCACAGCTTGATTAGAAAATTTCTATTCTGATTTTTGTTTTTTGTAAGTTTTATGCTTTCGAAATATTTAACTTTTAAATAATAATTAATTGAAATCACTCCAGTTCCTTCAATTCATTAATTTTTTTAATCTGTTGAGTCTTTTAACACTTTATGCCTTAAATATCAGCAGGTTTTATAGATTTTTACAAATTTGATGAAATTTTGAGCTGCAGCTGAATCAACACTTCTTCATCAGTGTGCACACTATTGTGATTCGTTTCCCATCCAAGTCATCTCAACTTTGCCACGCTTCTCCTCCTGCATACTTTGTCCTAGAGCTGCCATTGTAATTTATATCTGTAAAGCTCCTGTGCCAAATGATTGCTTTGGTGCCTGTACAGCTTATAGTTTTTGAAATATTAATGTTTAAAATCAAATAATGGGAGTCAATGGAGCCTTGTATTGGTCCAATACTGCCCCATGCTGTATCTACTCAGTACTGCACCATAGTTTAATAATATTTAAACTCAGTAGTTTAGTGTTTACAATACAAACATGATTGTATTTTGATATTTCACTATAATATTGTCCTAATATTCCTTTGTTGTAATATATTGCAGTTTAGTGTCAACAATTGCATTGGCAATATGGCCTCTTTCAGCACACATACAAACTTAACACTGTGAGTGCCTACTGCAACAGTTCCTATAGTCTCATGGTGAACACTATGGGCTTTCATGGGGGAGATCAGGGTTCAATCCCAGCCTTAAACAAAATATTTCATTAAAACTACATATTTTCTAATTGTCATTCTCACACAATTACCCTCATTACAAACAACTGCTGACTYGGCAGGCACAAGCTGGTACTTGATTAGCAAACACATTTCAACTTGGTCACAGTTCAAGCTGCAGGCAATGGCATGCTACAAGGCAATGCACACTTGTTTTTGCATCGTAAAAACCCATGTCTGGTTTCTTCTGGTTTTCAATCATTTTACACTTTTTTTCTGAACACATTGATGTTGCTTCTGTCTGCCTTTTGAACCTTCTTCTCATCATTAACCGATTTAATGAATTTATTTCCAGGTGTTGTTGGAGGTCCGGTGGGATCTGAGGCGTTCTCCGGCTGCACCCGTGAGTTCAACCACTTCCTGTTGGAGCTGAAGGCGAAGGAAAGCTCTGATCCCAGTCTGCGGTGAAGAAAGGMGACAAATCTGCTGCTTCCAGGTTTCGATCAGGAAACCATCGGGAAGATAACGAAGCTGAGGGCACGCTCGAGCGAGATAAGTCTGTGTTCCTCGTCGAGCGGTTTGTGAGAGCAGCATGAAGCAGAACCTGAAGGGTTGAGTTCAGCCAAGGTAAAACCAACAAAGCGCAGCCGACGACATGCATCACTTTCCAGCAACAAAAAATGGAACTGGTGATTCTTGGAAAACAAAAACCCAATGTACTCCTCTGTCTGGATGCGTCTCCGTGTCTTTAAGAGGCTCAGCTGAAGGAAACCTATAATTGTGCTAAATTACTCTGTAATTACAGAAAGCGAATGGTCAGTTTCAGGCGTCAAAACTGTAACTATCTTCCCAGGAGATAATTGCAAATGTGGCCCTGTGAAATTAAGTGTGCACGCTGTTGATTTGATTATCTGGCTTTCTATAAGATAAAAATATTTAATGTTCAGGTCCGCACTTTCAGAATCAACACCGTTTCTAAACAATGGAAAGGAAACATTATCTCAGCGTGACGACTGGAGCAACGTTTGTCTTCGGAGCGCCACATGGTGTGGTATCCTGCTCTATAATGCTTCTCATTATTTACTTCCAGCAAATTAACATTTGCCTTTTCGTTCAGAACTCATTTAAAATGTCTGCTTTCATGGGCAGAACCACAATCCACGACATCTTCAGCTCCACACAGCTGCTTTTTAATTATTAGCACTTCCCAACCCTTTATTTTTGATCCTAAAAAGTTATTTACGGCTCATTACGTCGTTTTTTTAATTCCTCCAGCCGTACGTAGGCTGTACGGCACATTTATTAACCCCATGAAACTCCTGCTGCCTCGCTTTTAGAGGAACATTTCATCTCGTTTGCACCGCACCCAGTGTTGTATAAAGCAGTGGTTTTCAAACTTTTTTGCTTCCGGCCCACAAAATAACAGTTGCAGACACTCG